ACCGCAATCGATCTCATTAGTGATGACTGCTTGCTTCCTACTGTCAGAAAACTGCAGTAATCGCCTCCTTGGTTGACACTATATCATACTGTTGGATCATCATGATTGCACTATTATGTCCCAGTCTGTGAATTCTCATGGATGATACCATTCAATCGATACAGTCATGCCCTCACAGTGATTACTGTTGGCACTAAAACTCAGTAGGTTTCTGTTCCGAACATGAAATTTCGCAGTCCGAATCCTGGCAGGAACACAAAAATAGAACAGTCCCACTAAGGATGAATCAGTTACCGGTGCTCTATGTTGATCAGTAGACCACTTCATCGCATCCAGTGCCGCACAGTACTTTTACGGTAAACTCGCTGATAACGTCGAACTAACTGGTCCGAATAGGACTCTTTGCATCCCATAGATTTTTAATTTGTTCTTAACGGATAGACCAAACCTAGTTAAAATCGGCAGAGCCACATACAATTCGACCGCAACAAGAAAATAGAGAAGCATTTGACTGTTTTAATCAATTTAATTTTTGACGTGATTACATACTCACAGATCAATTTTTATTACACTGACTTATGTGTCAAGACAAACCAGTAACCCATTTGTCCTTCAAGGCCAGAACACATCAGGATCTCGAGCACAAGATTTCGTGTTTCGCGTATCGAAGTATTCGATCGTTCATGCTCCGTTAAACAGGCGCATAGCCCCCCCCCTCAACCGCGCACATTTACTCGGTTGTGGCAATCTGGACACAATCATGCGCATCAATACAGTCCATTCTGAAATGTAATCAACCGGTCAAAAATCAATGACATGAGAATTGGTGGAGCTGACGAGTTGTTAAAATGGACTGATTTGACACAGTGAATTCCATTGTACAGTGCAAATGAAGCGTGAGCTGAAAAGTTAGACCGCCATGCACTGCTGTTTTGATCTGGTTGGGATTCGTCAGCAGTGCGAATTTGTAGACCCAGCTAGGGATCGAACAGGACAGACTCAATTAGAACGCAACTCCAATACCGGACAACTGATGAGACCACTTTTTAGTGAGGTCGGAATATTTCCAAATGAGTCTGGAGCCTGGTGCTGAGATGAGCTTAATGCGTTGTCCACAACAAGCTTTCACAGATGGATTGTGCTATATCGCGTATGGGGGAAATTAAACGGAAGAATTTCTTACCTGTGGGTACCTCAAAATCTCGCACCCACGAAAACGACCAGACCCCATTTTAGAACTCTCCCATACCAGTAGATATATCTGAAGAAAGGCGAAGAAGAATTGGTTTGTTTGAAATGATTGGACTGCAGTATGCACGTGTACAGATGCAGCGAAATGACCATGGATACATTGTGCAAACCCATGTTTCTGACTTCTCTGTTGAAATGATTGTAGCTCGGGATGCGGATGTTCTCCGAGCTGGTTCGAAACCGTTTTGCGGCTTTTCTNCAATAGGAATAAACAGACGCGAACAGCCAATCACAACCCTCAAACAGAACCATATAAACCCTGTCCCACTGGGGATCGGCGCTTCCTCGAAGTCTCACTGACGACGTTGCCTAGCTTGGCTACGAAACGTCTACGAACTACACTTCCAGCTCGGAGAACTCACCAACACCAACAGAATTGATTTGTGTTGTAAAACTATTAGGACAGGACTGCAGTCCTATTGATGGAAAATCTACTGCTGTGCAGTCATTGGGGCTGCCAGTGATCGAATTAGCCAATACCGGGACAGTAGGCATACACGAATGTCTGTGCGACTGTTGTAGAGAGAACTAGACATACATACCGGATCCAGGTAGTAGACTTATTGGGAGGCTTGAATTCCGCCCTCCCAAATAGTGATCATTATCGTACAGTGAAGGGAACTTTACTGATCACCACCAAAATCACAATGTGAGAATATACAAAAAGGAAAGAGATTGAATGGACGCAAGGAAAGCGAACCTCTATGGTCAACGCACTGCACTGTGGCTACGTAACTTTTTCTGACCTGATAAGAAATGACAATAACGCCACTGCTGTCGGTTAGTTGCCATATTCCTCAGTGTCTCCAACCAACCAGCTGCAGTCTTTTGGAACCCAACCTGGAAGGCGAAAGACATCGACTCTACCTAATGGCTCTGCGCGTTTCTTCATGCCTTGTTTCTACGGGATCTTTTGACCTCCAAATGATTTCCTCCAGCCTGGAGCCTCAACTGCAAATAAGGTGAGGTAGGTGATAGCAGGGCTTGTGTAATACGTGTTCTAAACAGCGAAGTCTACTGACCTGAATTCGATGGAATAACGAATCATTGCCAAATACTCCTCGGCTCAATTCGGTGTTGATTACACGCCCGCATCATCTAACCAGCGAAAGTCGAAGAGATTCAGACGATGTATGTCTCCGACGCACAAACTTGGGGTCTCGTAGCCGCAAAACGAAACTGACCACACACCGGTGTAGTATACGCAACTTTTCAGTCTCAAGTGGAGATCACGTGCTGGACTGAAGTCCAGCGTACGCTGCTCATGCCTCGAAACTCCGGGCAGTCGCTTCCGCTACGACGTGCTAACGGCATTTGCCACGCAACTACCTAAGAAGAGGAAACAATCCACATCACTGAGCACTTTGAAGGTACAAAGCGCATACTAAATGAAGTCACTGAATTTGAAGACCTATAGATCTCACGTAAATTCGAACAGACAAACGACGCCGTCCACTTACCGTTTTTCTTCATCTGCCCGTTAAACAAACAATTTGGAGACCACTAGGTGCGTTCTCCGGTACGACAAAGTTAAATAGAAATGGTGAAATAGCGTACCCTTGACGAACACCGCTGTTGGTTTCCGGCGCTTTGTTTAGCCCACCGTAGACCCTTACACCAACCGAAATATGCAGATACAGTGATCTCAATTAGTTGGTTACCCTTGGTTAAACAAACAAACAAACCATGGTTACGGATACATCCCCGACTATAGAAAGAACAGCAGCACGACAGTAACAGTCAACTCAAGAAACAAAGTCCACGGAGGCATCCATAAGGCACGTGAAGAAGGCCTCGCCTACATCCGAACGAACTGTATCTTCCTGACGGTGATAACTATTTCATTGGTTATTTTTCGATTTGTAAAAAATAATAATTCACCGGAAACGAGCATAAAGATTGATCAACTCCATTTGAATGAAAGGTAACACGGTGTGTAGAGCAGCCGATAATGGAAAAAAACTGTGCCATGGGCCAGATCTCGGAAGATACGCTCCTGCCGATGCATCGCTTATTGATTAAGTCTATATGAAAGACCTGTTCCAGTATTCAAAACACCAAGGTGTGCACTGAAAACGTCGAAATGCTGGCACTTTGTATAGTATATCTTTCGATCAGAGCTTATGTGAAGAAAGTTTACAGTGAATCAAAACAACCGAGCCTTCCTGGAATTCTCACTTGACGCGCCGTAACACAACCTTGCGAAGAATTTGAGAAAATACGTTGTTCGTTGCAATCCACAGCTTGAATTCAAGGCCCATGGAGAACACCCAACACACAGATCAAATCATGCATTCGCCCCCCTTTTGTCATCACCCAGGTTCGAGCCCCGCCACCGCCACCCGACTTTGGTGGTAGGCAGCCCTACTGTCGTCTGGTTCGATACCCCACTTAATATGCCGGGGCCTTCTGTGGTTCGCCAC